GATAACATAAGAGAGAATTCAGACATTACTATACTGTTGTTCAGGAATTTAGCTGAATTAAACTGAATGTGGAAACCGTCTAGGCACAACCTTAACGAAGGAATCAGTCTTCCTGGCTTCTTACCTTTACGTTCTGAACACAAATATGTCTTTATAAAATGGTACAATTTAAGAACTATTTAAGAAAGGAATGTTTTTGTGTGGCTCAGTTGCTCGCAACTTGAGTCACCCGGTGATCAAGCAAGTGGTACTTCATCTACACAGTCAAAGCTGAACAATACTACAACCGTGTGAATAGTTAAGAGGTTCACTTGGAATACAATCGCTAAAACTGGAAAAGTTCTTCTCATCCAAGGCAAACCAGAGCACGAAAGAGAGTAATCAGTTTGCAGGACATAACACTTGTAGTGGAATGTCAGGAGAATAATAATACTAACAGGTTTTTTAATGAAACTCTCTGGTTCGGTACACACCTGTTACTCATGCTCAGATCCAGCGCACATAACGAAACAAAGAATATATTACCAGATAAATGGATGGCAACTTATGTAAATAACGCCAGACGACCAATGCAGCAAAATGCGGATTCTAAAATCAAGGCTGGAAAACCAAACGGCGGTTTATCCAACCTTAAAAGGAATTGCGAGCAACTGTGCATAGCAAATTAATGTTCAGGAGAAAGAGCTAGCTGTTCTTCTCACTTAGTAGGAATAATATACATGGGAAAAACAATTTGAAAGTACAGTTTACTGGCTGATTCTAAAATCAGACAACTGGTTGGGCAATCCTCCGATTTGGAAACGGCTTAGCTGCTCCGAATCGGTGTTTCCTGTAAAGATGGATTAGTGTAGGCGGGAGACTGATCAAAATCTCAGATGACGAATGGACTAAGAACGAATAGGAATAGATTTCTGATTGACTTTGCTGTGTCAATCTCATCGGATACACCTAATCCATTGTGGAACTAACAGTGACTGACAGGTTGTATGTCTTCTTATGTGACAGTAGCTTTGAGATGATTCAGCCAATATGCTGAAACGTCAACAAGCATGTTGAAACTCTGTTGATGTAGCCGCTGCCGGTAGAGGGAAAAAAGTCAGCACATGCCATTCTGGTGAAAACCAACATTTTACCTAGATTAAGAGTTACGCACAAGCAAGCTGGTTCAAGTAATCTATTCGAAGTGGATTTGAAGTAGAATTTTATCCTATCGCCAACCAAATTGGGGACATCTTTTTGTTATTTAATGGCTTTTGATCTCAGTTACAAACGTTCCAGCCAACAGTGGAGCAGGCACGTATAAAGACTGCCGGCACATGATTTCATGGTACAATTTGCTTGGAACACATGAGATTTTAGTTGTCTTAAATTCAGTAAAGAGCAGAGGATGCTTCGACTGTTGCGCGACAGGAAAGCCGCTGTAAATAATGCGTTCTGCGGCACACTACCAATGAACATGTGAGAACTTTCTGCTCTGCAGATGCAATAAATTATTTCTGGAGGTCCTTTAAACAAAGGTTCATGGAGGCGACAGAGCACAACACAGATGGATTGGATGTGCCAAACTAGCGTTGAAGAATAATCGAATCGGAGCATTTCTACCCGATGGACTCCATTTTTTAGCATTAAATGCCTTTAGACCAGTTAACGATCTGGACCAGTTTGTTTTAGGTAAGGTAAGCAAACAAGTGACCAGCTACCAGACGCGGCATTCGAGTTTATCTATCTGTGGATGGAATGAATAAGTACTTTAGAAAGCAAGTGGAAGCTTCATGTGTTGACTGTGGTGATTACTTATAATAGAACTTTACAGATAACATAAGAGAGAATTCAGACATTACTATACTGTTGTTCAGGAATTTAGCTGAGTTGCAGTGTGGCACCAGCGATTACGCAAAATGCAGTTGGCAACCTATGGGAGTACAATGGCTGCGAAGTCAACTTTCATTGGTACTGGTCTAAGCCATGTATGTTCCACCGGGGTTGCTTTAATTAGCTGAGATAAGTTACTTAATAATAGTGTACAGGGTCACCATAAATTAAGAGATATTGACCTGACTTAGTGCAAACAGAGACGGTCACGGCTCAATCACGACTCTCAATCCACACTCGCCTTTGGCGGCTTCTAAGATTAGGTGCTTCTTGATTTGGGTCAAAACTCAGAGGAATCATTGCAACTAATGCACTTCAATCAATATCGTCAGACTCGCTGAGTGCACTTTTCTATTGCTTGCCTGAACACTTTGCCAAGTATACTGTGACGTTCTCCAACCCTATTTTTAAGAAAAGTAAGATAAATAGGATTTTGCCTGAAAAATTATGAGCGTGTTGAATGCCAGTTTCCATTGGCATAGTACATTGTGTTACAATGCAGAATGAAAGTTAAATGGCACATCCAGTTGAATTTTAGCGAGACAAAAGCATAAACAATAGTCAAGTAATTATTGTGGACCTCAGGTCCGTTTGTTTTGCAGGTTCAATCAAGGTTATTATATTTGCTAATATGTCTGGTTGCAAAGGTCACGACGTTGACTTTCGTAACCTAAAACTTTACCCTACGACGAACGAACATTTTCCCCTCATAATAAGATTCATGTTTAGGGTTTTGCAAAGAAAACTTGCTACAAGCGTCAGGTAAATAGAAAAAATCAGGACGTTAGGCACAGCTCACGTAGCGTTCCTAATACTACTCACGCAAATTGGTACTAAATTCTAGACCTCTAGGTGTAAGATCAACTGGTTACGAGTGTGCTCAAGTCAAATGACGTTGTCAGTTCTTAAAGCTACTCTTCCAAGGAAAATCCCATTTGACTAATCAGAACCCCTGAGTGCAGGAGGGGTACGCTTCCTGTACAAAGAAATGAAAATGACTGGTAAATTTGTCACTTTGACAACGCCTTATGCGTGTCCAAACATGTAAATATTTGCTTACATCAGTTTCTATAATCGATAGAAATGCCAGAGTTTCAGAAGTTGTTCCACTATTCTGTCAACATTTGAAAAACCGCACGGCAACTAAACGGATCGGTTTTTATGTGCTAAAGGCTCTTCAGATGTGAGCTGGGCAATTCGACTGCAAACGTTTTATCACCATCGGTACGTTATTGGGGAGCGTAGTGGTGGGTAGCGGTGGGTTAGTGTCACCTCAGTTGCTGATGAAACGTTTGCAATCGAATTGCCCAGCTTAGCGAACAAGCCAACGACCATCTACGCTACCTAAGCTACCGACATATGGACTAATAGAAAAACTCTTCAGATGTGTTTTCATATGGAAACAAACTCAAATAATTCAAACAATAAGTACACGAAGATCACCATAGTCCATTACTTTCATCCAAGCCGGACCTAAAAAGATAAGCCGACTGCCATAGCTTATAGGTCTTTTATTACTCCTCTTGCTTTTCTAAAAGTACGTGAAACGCTATTCGGGTTACTGACTGTGCATATTCCACCAACAATAGTATTCTTATGGTTCTTAAATATATTCACATGTGAACTAGCCTCCGTAGCTGATCGTGCTGAATTTTGTCCCAAAAGCCCCTGTTTCAAAACCAAGTGTCTAATTTCTAACCATGTAATTTCGAATTGCGTCATTTGCTAGTTTGAAGACTTGTCTTACCTTTAGATCCCATCCCCTCATTAATAAGAACTCGCTAATTTAAAATCAAAAGGTCACAGGTGGCGTAAATTGGCGGACATGGTTGTGGAATTTGAGTACAAGCACTCAATTACTTCAAAACTTTCCAGGTCGGATTTGGGCTGCTGGGCAATACACTTTGTGTAGGACAGAGAATCTATTATTGGGCAAGTTTTTGTTGATTCGGACATCATTCAATGGCATCTGTGCCTTTCAAGCAGTAATTTTATCTTCTGCATTTTTTTCTTCACACACACATGAGAAAACTAATAGGCTTCCAGTTCGTTTGGTATTTCCGTCTAAATTCCCATAGCTTAATTAATCACCAAGCGCTACCAGAATTCAGTTTTTCCTTAGTAAGGATGACAAAGCTTTAGCGAAGGGGAAAACATAATGCTTATTGTTATGGCAACCACAGTAACATGTGGTCGTCAGGTAGTTTCCCACCAGACAAAGTACATGTGGATCAGTTGTCCGAAAATATTTCTATGGTGACAGTAGCATTGTTCTTTAGACTTGACATTCAGTGAGTCGCTTGCTCTTTGGCATTCCACAGTAACTAAGGGCAACTGCCGAAGAAACTTTCCGCACTCCAAAGCCAATGGTTGAGTGATGTAATTTTCATGACACAGTCTGTGGTGGTGGGGAATCTGTGTAATGGATTAAAACAGGGAAAGCCAAGTTTATTGCCATCTATATTGTTCCACACAGCTCTTTTTGTGAGAGCAGTTACTACCGGGTCTAGGTCAAGAAAGCTTATAACTGATGCAGATTCGGAATTTCTCATCTACACAATGGACCTTTCTCCCGCACTTCACAATTGGGCGGCAACCACCAACTGTAATTCTATCGTTCTTCTATAACTGCACAATTATGCCAAGTGGACTGAAACTGAACCACTATTCATTGATGCTTATTTCCACGACAGATTCAGTGACTGCAGCGTCTGGCACTTGGGGCCTTCCAACCAGATAAGGATGACTTGAAGCTCACTGCATTTTATTGTGGAGACTGGTGCCATTGCTCAAATAAGTGAATTTCAACTTATTGATCGCTCCTCACTTTTGAGGGAATCCGCCAACGCAAGTTGTGGGACGTGCATTCTTTTCAAACCAATTTTTGTCACAACTGCAACGCTGATTGGTGCAAAAAGTGCACGCAACCCTGAAAGAGTGATGCCACAAAATCAGCTGTCCTCGCTCACGTAGATTCTTTAACGTATCATATTCAGAAGAATAAAATGCATCCTATTCTGCAATTAGTCTACTGATCAACACTGTCGAAGTGTTAAGTGCTGTTTCCGAAAGTCATCAGACCGACATCCAAATGATCTTGGTTTCAGAAAACATTCTTATTTTTGCAGGCGAATTCGAACAGTTGGCCTATCCTCTAGTGGTTGGAAAAAACATCGGTCTGAATAACCGTGCCATTGCATTGGCTCGAATAGAGATATGACAGATGTATTGATCTCACTCGGCATTTCAAGTGGAACCAATACCACCTTGTGGTCAAACGGAATCAGATTTGTCCCATTATTTGCTCGTGAGCCATGGCAACCGACAATATGAAAACTTCCAACATGCTCACCATGTCCGTTCTTTTGGTGGAATGCTTCCAGTCGTTAAAAAATAACTATAGACCATAAGCCAGACAGATTCCGGCTATAAGACAGCTTCACAAAATCAATTATGAATCCATGCTTTAAAACTTAAATGCATTCATTCCTCTTAGGATTTTATGGCCTTAACATGAGAGTGGTTCCCCTAGCAAAAATCGTTTATCATTGAAGACTAATCAAATGCGTTGATAAATCACCCTAAAAATAACTGCGTTTCTGCTGCTAGGCAGCATTTTCACGTTTGCTGTGAAACTTACTTGCAACAGTGTGAGATTCGTGATACCAGAAAGTCTCCGGTACCACGATTTGCCGAGCGATAACAAGCAGTAGGTCAACTCACTCTCCCAAGCCTGTGTAGTTTCAGCATTGTGAGTGAAGGGAGGAAAAGACGATTGAATTCTAGGGTTCCTTCATACGGACGATTCCCCAACAGAAATGTCTCCCATTGGTGTCCGTAAGATACTGAGTCAAGGCAGTTAAACTTTGTTTACTTAAAAGCCTCTTTTACAAGCCGTCTTTAGCCACAGCATAAAGTCCGCATGAGTGGTGGGTGAATTTAAGCTCAGCTTTGCGTTTGGTGCTACCGTACGGACAGGAAGTGTACACGGACAATGGTGCAAAATGTCTACGTTTTTGTTCTGCGTAACTTACATATTTCACTGACTGCTTACTAATTTACAGTCCATAAAGCTGCTCCTAAAGCACTTTTCACTTATTAAGTAGTCCTCCTCATTGACGCGTGAGCAAGAGGGTTGATTCGAACGCGCTGTTTTGCTAGCAAGCTCAACGGCTCAGAATATAAGGGATGTATACTCCAGTAGCTTTCAAGTACGAGGACCACTTTTGTTGGTGAGAAATCCGAATAGTCGTTATATAGCGAATTCGATGAGAGGGAATTTACCCTTTTGTCCACGAAATTAAACAGTTCTGCGGATTCCGGTATATGTGAGTTAACAGTAGCAAGGGAGTTGCAAACGATTCTCTAGGAAAACAACCGATGGGTCTACAAACTTTGTAAAATAGTGCAAAAAGTGTCTCAAGTCTTTTTAGCATGTGGTTACCAACATCTCAAATGACGTAAGTTGCCGCACGGGGACCTCAAGGCTTTCAGCATACACAACAAAGTTATTTGTGACCAATCAAGGCCGCATATTTAAAATCTGAACCCTCATTTCCATCATACCAGCAGGCCCACAGATGGTATGATTTACTGCCATTTTTTCTCATGCCCTTCTGCCAAGTTACACATGTCATCCTTCCGGCAGGTCAAGCCCCAGTGAAAGAGGCATAAAAACAATATTCTTCTCTGCGAACCAGCAAACTTTCTGAGATAGTTCTGAGTCTGTAACTCAAAAAAGCATGTTCTTTTGCTTGTACAGGTCTGCCTCACAATCAGACAACAACACATCCTGTAATGTAGCCTGATGCATGCTATCCTTGGGACCCGACGGTCTTTTTCGATGCCACAAATATTCTAAAATGGTGAACGTGATATGGGGCTTAAAAAAGTTCCTCGTCAAATACATTTTTGGCACAAATGAAACTTGCGAGGTACGTGAAATTCTGCACAGCCTCCTGCGTTTTCTTTAAGTTGCGGGGGACAAGCTGAAAGATTGTGCACTTCTAAAAATGACAGTGTTCTTAAAGTTGGTGATGTTTAGTCAACAGTGCCTTCATTTTCAAAGATCGGGACAACTTCGTTTGCATACTACAGATCTGAACATATGAATATGAAGACCGGATTGTGTTCAGGAATTTCTGAGGCATCCGATTCTGAGCAAATGTAATTAGACAAAGTGACAGAATTTAGCGTACCTTTGGAGGACAAAACGATTTTTCATTGTCTGTACGCATGTCGCTGCTCTAACACCTGACTGATTTCGAGGACGTGGTCGATGTAGCTTCTATTTGATCAAAATCCTGTGTGACGCATACGGGTTGAGATTTTCGCCCTAAGATAACGAGGACTTAGTACTCCGAAAGCCCTGTTCTAAGGGATTCAAGGTGGTACCTCTGCAATCACTACATTCGATATTGAGTTTCCTTTGGAAGATGGGAACTCCTGTTGACTCACCCTAATTTTCTTCATCAGCAGCCTTCATCTGAATGGCCCTCAAACCCCTATAAGACTGAAGGAAGTTCCACATACACAGTTCAGGTTTCGTTCAAGGGTCGACAGCACAGAGGGAAATTACTGGGTGGCCAACCAATGTGTTCGAATTGCAATATGTATGTACTGAATTCACTAGATTTTTGACCCTACTACATCTTAACCCCAGAGTATAGTAACCAGTCGCACGTTTTATCCCATCTACAAATTAAGTGGGCACAATTTTGAGCAAAGTTAAATCAAAAACGGAAATAGTTAAAGCTTTTGGTGAATGTCCTGTTTTGCATGCGAAAACGCTTCTGAGAAGCTCCTTATTCCTCGCGTTGGACATATTTCAAATCAGGACTTCTCCCACAATAGACACGAACGAATAGCTGTGTTACTGCAGAGATCAATTGGCTCCGATGATTTAGATAAGTGGTAAAGTGGCCGAAACCGGGGTTTTATGAAGCACATTTATCAAAATTACTCTGAAGTTTAGAGCTTTTGCTCTTGAATTCGATACCGACGGCCTCCTTTGGCTGGCATACTGTCATCATAACAGAAGACGATGCCTAATTCCCAAACAGGGCACCTACACTTTAGTCCATAAATGGGGGCATGTAACCCCATGGCGTTCAGGTTGAAAATACTAAACCCACCCTGTGGGTGTATGACGCCTTTGCACTCCACTTTAAGCTCTACAATGTGAGTTACACCGAGTCTGAACATCAGACGTAGAAGATTTGGAGATAACTGGTGAGTGACTCCTCATATAAATTCTAGAACCTACCAGTGTGGTTGGATTGTATGCAACAACTATGCTCGTGTTAGCGCTGGAATTGGTGGCACTTACAAGCTAGCGGGTGGCCTAATGCTTTTCTTCCTCTGTATTACCAGAAATACTGTGTGGGTTTTAGGTTAGGTTTGTCATGCCCCACAGCAATCTCTTGTGTCAATGTCCTGTTCACTGTGAGTATCGTAACGGTAATACACGAGTCACGTGCTCGCCATTTTCAAACTAATGTGATTCGTTCTTTCAGGTAGCTATTATCACGTTGCACATTCTTTTGTCGCGCAATCTATCTTCCAAGGGAATGATACATTTTATCGCAAAGATGACCTGATTCTTATAAGTTGTGCTGCTGTAATGTAGTGTTTAGAAGACAGACGTTGTGCGGCGATAATCACGAGATTATGACTATGGGCACAGCTGATAATCAATATTCAAGAAGATTTCTTTCGTGACCTCCAGTGCTAAAATGCGTATTGTAACTGGCTTACAGTTCTATTTTCGTGTGCAGTTGAAACTAAGATACTCTGTTTAAAAACCCACTGCTATATTCGGATTCACTCTGAATGACCCACTGACAGAACCAAACACGGTAAGACCACGTGTGATGGTGTCTGATCGGGCAATGAGTTTGTAATTACAGCCAATCAGTGAGCAGGGGCAGGCTGTAAGCACGCCCTCCTACGCACATAAAATAATCAGCATGCAACATACATGGTAGATGAGCTTAAAGACAAATTAGTGAAAAGGATTTTCATCTCCCTCGCATTTTAAGCGGTTTGCCAAGTGCGTGAGAGTGGGGACTCGTTCATGTCCTTTGGAAAACTTTCTTTTCAGAATTCACCTACTGATAGCGGATGCGATGTCTGCCTGTTTACTTACGATTTTCCATTACCTAATGCTCGAATTTCACCCGGATCAGCTTACTGGATTAGTTCCGGTATATTTGCTTTCTCATGCCCCCGAGACGCAACATGTGCAGTTCTAAAATATGACACTATTGTCGACACCAAACAAAGTTGTGCGCGCAAGCGCACTTACTCGCTTTCACGGTCGGAGTTCAGTTCATACCCAGCCGACCATGGACACGAAGAAAGCAAATTACTGTCTAATCGGTTCATTTCAAAATGAAATAGATGAGTGGGCACAAAAATAACATACTAAGACGAGCGAATTAGATGAATGGAAATTGTGATCATGGCGAAACCACTCCCAAATCAACCTAAGTATTCTTTCTGACGAAACAAACCTGGTAACTTACTGGTACCACTCAGATACTCCGTAGTGTAGTTTATATGAAGCATTGCACTGTGTAAATGTTTGGTGTGTAAAACTGGCCCATGAAAGTTGTTATAATTAGCATCATCACTGTAGACAGCATATCATTTTTCAACACTAACACCTCGCTACCTACATGCTCGAAGACGGCATAAACAAATGCTATTGGTCAATAATTTCAAATGATATTTATACTTCTATGGTGCTCGAGTTGTTTTCAGATCATCATCGTGAAACTGCTACGGTGTGTGTGATCATATCCATAAGATATTTGGCGGATAGGATTTTTGCGCTGCTTTGCATGGCAAAAGCCTAAGAGTGATGATCGTGTTTTGCTTGGTGACATAACATTAGACTTTCAAGATGTTGGTCGATAAGTGGCTTGAGAGCTGATAAATTGATGTCACCGTTGAAAGCAAATAACTCCGGTCTGAATAACTTTTTTCAACGACAGAAGTGAGAAATTTGAGCCGGCACAGAACTCCTTGGGGTACTTTTTGAAATTTTCCAAGAGTTCCGTATGCGTCATATATTACCATTGCAGTCAACTACGCCGATGAAAATATAGTCCCGATTTATGAAAGACCTAAAACTACAGGTGGTTCTCAGTTACGTCAGCCGGTATGATGGAAGTGGAACCAAGTGAATTTTAGAAAAAACTATTTGACCTGCTTTTG